ACGATGGCTGATTGATGGTATTTATTGCGTTCTTAGCTTCAAATTCACAATCGTGGCTCGATGTGACTGTGCATTATCGTGTAGAATCCATGTATTGGTTTTCGACAGTTCCGGCCGTTTTCGAGGAATGTTCTCACTCAAATGCCTTAATTAACCGTCTGTTCCTCCTGAACAGAATCACGATGCACCAAAGCACGTATATCGAAAAATAATTCTCTCGCCTAGAAGCTAAAGATTTTGAAGGTAACGACTTCCAGTTTAATCCACTTTCATCAGCATTATAAACAAAATCGAAGTCATACTTATTTTTATTCAAATTCTTTTTAAAATTAGCTTTAAAAGAGTTTGTTGCATCTGCATTAGCTGACTTTTTTTCACCTTGTATTTCCAATTCACGAATTCCATTACGTGATTCAAATCTGTACAACCATTCGTTACTTGCCACAAATGGTGCTTCGCCGCTTAATTTTTTATTTAACTGTAATGCTTTTTCACAGAGCAAAGGTCCAGATATCGGTTGCCCAGTTGATCGTTTTTGTAAAAACCAACAATACAGAGCTTCTTCTAAACGTTCATATTTCGGTCTCTTCATCATTTTTCGAATATCGGTATTCTTCTTAATATCACTTAACGTGTATGTACGTCCACCATACTTTTCAGCTAACTTACGGCCGGTTTCTCCTTTTTTTAATGAATTTAAGCGATAACACCACTTTCTTACGTTTTGGCATGTTTAAATATGTAGACGTGACACGCACGTCAGAGCGGAATCACAATTGCCAATGACCTAAAATAATAATGCAACGCTCTGGGCGGTGGCAGCGACCCCGCACAGCGCGTTCGAAATATGCAAGCTCCGACACGTTCATGATTCCACAATTTCGACCTGTAGGTAAATATAAATTGGTCGGGGTTGGTAGTCCGGATAATCGCGGATCCGTATAACTAGGGCCCCGATAAACGAGTTTCTACTGGAGATCATACAAATTTTATTGACTTCGGAATGTTTATAAAAATTAAGTTTTTTGTATAAATATTAAAGGAATAAAATAAACTTCGAACTATTTATAATTTCAAGCAAGATACCAAAGACTAATTTTGATGTAAACGAAGGACATCCCGCAATGTGCAGCTATTAAAGCCAGCGAAATACTTTCCACGAAATTTATATCGAAATCAATTTATTTACTAAAATGAGAAATGCATAACGTAAACTCAATCATAAACTAGTAAGGGAAAAGAGTCAATCAGAGAATCGGAAATCATTATTTTAAAATGGGGCTTAGACTAAAATAAGACACAAACGTAATTATTTATTCGACAAATCGCATTATTTTTAAGAAAACTTATCTACCATACCTACATAAAGAGGAATAAATCAGCTGGAAATCATTACATCGAGTACGAGTATTTTTGGAAAGAAAAGTAATACAAGTATATCGAAGTCGTGCTATTCTGTGGACAGATTTCAAAAATTTTCACATTACTAAGATAACTTATATTCTGATCGATATATAATCAACTGTATAATTCCAACAGGAAATATGAAATTTTTAATTAGATTTTTGGACTAAAGGTAATCTTCGATGTCAAGGCATGACATTACTAAATAAAGACCTTAAAAGAGTTTTGAAAATATAGCTCATGTATTTACTGCTTTACACCGTATAATGGCAACCGGAAGGAAACAAAATTTTACATATATGGTGGTTTGGGGCACTATGACACAATTTTATTCATTTTAGACCCAAGGAGAGGAAAATATCCTCTATGAATATCATTGATTTATTTGATTATAGTTTAAAAACAATTAAATTCTGCCGTAATTATTGCTTTAGTTAGTTATAGTTTAACAACAATTTGTGGGCGTGCAATGGTTTGTTTCCTCCCAGCTGTAATACCCACCCACAACGGATATTTTCGAAGTGGAACTTTCATAGATATCGTCAGTCCTAGACGGTATTCACGATTCATACTGCTCGCTGACGCTTCATCTCTTTCGAGACCACGACCGGGTAAAAGTCCACCTACGTCGGCATCATTAAATAACAGCCTAACTGACAGGTATTTGGAGATAATTCTAAACAAATAAGGTCACCAAATAAGCCGGCTTGAACGCATTTTTAACATCATACGTTTGGACTCTTTTATGCTATACATTTTAGTGCCGTACATCCACCTCGTTCCTCCGAGAGCCTTGTTTGCGACATTGATTACATTTTTGATCGCAGTTATGGATGTGTATACGAAAACCAAATTCGTTTTCAGCATGTTCTGGAGTTTTTTGCTCCAGATTTTTCTTGAGTTGGACGCATAAAACCCAATCGCTATTTCTTCCATATTTTCGGAGAGACGTCTTGCAAATAGTGGGTAAATAGCTCTGACAAGGGACTCGCATCGTGTGTTATAGCAATTTTTAAGATCTTGTTGTAGATTCCATCGAGACTCGGTGTTTTGGTATTTCCCAATCTTTAAGCTTCTTCGTTGGTGAAGCACTGGTATTTTTCGTATTGGTCTTTCGTTAACCTGCATAGGGAAAACGGTTTCCACGCCGCTTTTCAATAGCGCGTAACAGATTGATGTTCCCCTTTATGGACTTTGAGATTTGTCATCACTAGTTTGTACGCATGTTCAGATCACGGCGTTCTTTTTTTTAGTGTTACTGCACGTCGGAGTATTCTGGCGATCTCTGTCTTCTCTAGCAGAGTCGTATGGTTTTGTTGCAATCAGTTCTCACGCTGTCGACTTCACTAGGCCTCACCAATATCTCCGGCTGTCGTTCCGTATCTTCTACAGTTGCAAGGTTGTCATCCAGCCTAAGTCGGAAGAGATATTCGTCAATAGTTTCGGCTTTCCATCCTCTTGCATGTACCTTCTTGGTGTGTGTATATTTTCCACTGCTGGATTTTTAGATCTCTATTACAATGGCCAGGTGGTTACTTTACTTATAAAGGTACAACTTGTTGATCGTACCAACGAGCTGCTAACAACCGCGATGTCAAACACGGAGTCTAGACCATTTTTTTCGATGGTTTTCCTACTTCCAGAGTTTAATAGTACCATTTCGAGCGGCGAAAAGGCCTTGAACCGAGCGTCTCCTCGTTTTTTCGCACTAATAATTCCCCATCACTTACTAGTATGTTCTTAGTGATGTTGGGGTTTCCGGTACAAGATCATCCAGTATCCTCTCACAGGGGCGCCAGGTCTATATAGCAGCTACAAAAGTTGACTCCACAGAAGGGCTCGTGTGAAATAGGCCTTTCTTAATAGCGGCTTTTCCTGGAAAGCTTTGCCTCCGCACGACCATGTCACAGCTTGGCTGGTAGTGTCGAAGATCCATGTTGGGTTGACTTAGTTTTTGTACTGTTCGCAAAGTCCACCTTTTCCTCAAAAATTCTCTGTTTAACTAACGGGTTTTTAAGAGGGACGCTATAAAAGTAGACCAATAATTTTTATAATCTTCTACTGAACTTCCGAGTCAATGGCCTCAACTTGGTCGAAGGTCTATGTATGCCAACAAGTCACCGGCGACTGATTAACCGATTTATGCTTGAAAACCGTCGAGTTCCATACATAATAGCATCGATCGTACTTTCACAGGAACAAAGTATTTATTAAAAAAAAAAAAAAAACCTTTTGTAGCGCTCTTAATGAAAAATCCGTTAGCTTCCCAACACAAAGTGTTGAAGAATTCATGTACTAATCCATTATTGGCATCAACATTTCTTAATTTTTAAACAAGTCATTGCTTGCACAAACGGACGTAGGATCACCACACGGATTAACGTTCACCTAGACTTGAGCTCTTCAGAATAACTCTGTATCTATCACTTGTTGCGAACGTATAACATTTAGATTCACCTAACTTGAATAGAGTTAATCTAAAATATTTACACTACATTTAAACTTTGCCACTATCATTTCACAAAGAGAGTACAGAATCCAGTGTATCTAACATATGCTCATTAATTAATTTTTGATACTGTATAGTATGCAAATACCTAAAAGGCAGCCATCAACCAGTCAACCATTCTCATTCAATTAAGGTTTTATTACTACAATCAATGGATCTTTGCAACGCCATTGCAGTAACCGCTCTCCCACCATTAATTAGGAGTCCTCACAGCTGCAATGAAAAAATTGAAATCACAAATCATTCGCAAATATGTATCTTATATCAGCTTGCAATGTTCTTTAATGGCCTTTTTCGTATTCTCACAGCATTCTCGGCACTATTTGCTTTGCATATTTCAAGCTGATCTTCATTGCAATAAGCACAAACCGAAAATTATAAGTAGCAAACAAATGTAAGACAGGTAATGAGTAAACAACAGCGAATTTGATGATTTCGTAACGATGATTCTCGAATATTTGGTTCCCATCCCGAGTCAGCGGCGCAGCAAATGCTCCAACCGATCATAGAATGCATACAAAGTGGGTAAGTGGGCTGAAATGAGCCATATCCCAGCGCGGTACAAGCGGATATATGCATAAATATCGCCGTAATGTGAATATATGCAGGCGCATACGTATGTGTGTGGATTCGTATGTATAAGTGTATATGTGTGTGTGCTTACTTGCATACAGTATAATTTGTTAATTTGGTGCACGGCTGCGCATCTTAATGAATTTAATTGGCGGTTTGTGGCCGAAAGGTTTCTGTGTGTGTGTGTGAGGCTGTTTGTCTCAGCCACTGCTTCCAGTGCCTTTCTTTTTATAATTTTCGAGCTATCATTATTAATACGTTTTGTGAGAATAATTATGAAATTTCGCATTCAATAATTCATTCCCTTATCATTTGGCGCGATTGTTTGTTCGCGCACAAAAATGCAGCAAAACGACTTTTTTTGCGCAGAAATATATAAATAATTGTTTTAATTAAATAAGAGCGTTCTTTGCCACTGCCCATTGTGGCCGCTAACAAATGAGTTTTTAACATCTTTTTTGAGAGTTGTAAATTGTTACAACTGGTTGTAAGCTGGCATACAAGTGATAAGCAATTTAATTTCGTATTTTTTATTGTTTTATTTTTATATTTGTGTTTATAAAAATAAATTTCACATTACAACTAGATACTTATGTAATTATAACAACCAGTTTTGAAATGTGTCAGACGCGCTTACAAAAACTAAATTTTTACAAATACTATACATGTCATTGAGTCAGCCGGTAGATAAAATCTTCAACCTTACAACTCAACTTTTTATTTTGTTCGATTTTTTTGTCTTTCGTAAATGTGTAACACAAACATGAAGTCCTTTGCCAGTTTTCAGTTGTAGAGGTTTTCACGGTATTTCCAAGGTGCCGTATTATTCTTCTTTTTCAGATTTTTCTGATTTTTCGGACTTGTCAGGCTTTTCCGATTTCTCTACTTCTTTCGCTTCGCCTTTTTTATCTTCTTTGGCCTTACCCTCCTTCTCTTCATTCTCAGATTTTTCTTCTTTTTCCACCTTTGCGGTTTCTTTGGGCTCTTCCTGCTCCTCTTGCTTTCCTTTTCCTTCCTTTTCTTCCTTGGCTTCTTTTTCCTTCTGTCCTTCTTTCTCGTCCTTGCCCTCCTTCTCATTTTCTTGCTTACCATCTTCTTTCTCCTTCTCTTCGCCCTCCTCCTTGCCTTTCTTATTCGAATGCGCCGAACGCTTTACTTTCTCCGTTTCCACAGGTTCATTGGGCTGATCAGCGGCAGCTTTAGCGGCTTCTGAGATTTCAGCGGGAATATTGGTGCCGATTGGCACAAAACCATTCTTGCCGGCGGTGTAGTGTACTTCGATCTCTTTGCCATCGGCATCAATATAACGGTAGGAGCCATGGACTTCGAGCGTTTCCTCCTCGGTGCCGACATTCTCCACTACGCCAGCCTCGTCGCGTGCACTCTGATCGCCACCCTCGTAGGAGAAGCTAAAGGAGCCATCGGGCTTTCTGTCGGTCTCATAGCGCAGTAGCGGAATAATTTCACGCTTTTCGGTGGTCGATTCCACGCCAGCACCGATGCTAGCCGCATAGGCGGCACCGACAAAGGCCAACACGCATATCTGCAATGTAGAGGATTTGTGTTAATATTATATAATATTTCTGTAATCAAAATTTATTCATTGCTTCAAGTACACTGTTTTAACGAAACTTACAAATTTGTACATTTTTTGTTCTTCGCAAATCACTCAGCACTCGTTCACACTCGCCAAAGCTCAGCTTCACACTTATGCGCTTCTTCAAACTTCGACACTTTTATACTAAAGAAAAGTTAAGAATCATCCAATTTAGCATCGTTTACACTTAATTTTTTTTTTCGGCGCAAAAAAGAGAGATATTTTTATGCGTGTTTCTTTTGTTTTGTATTTCGTGTCATTTGTTTAACTCATACTGACTCACACACTAAGCCAAAATGTTGATAATAACAATAAGAATAACCGCTCATTAACATACACATTTTGTTGTTATTGCTGTTTTTGTTAAATCATTATAAACTTAAGCAGCGTCCTATTTAGTATGCGCGAAATCGAAGTGTTATTTACGAGGGTAACTCTTACGGCCGGCGCGCAGACGCACATACTCTCCACTGCACGGCAGAGCGCCGTTGAGAGAGATTAGTCGAGCTTTAGTAAGTAATATTTTGGGGAGTTCTGCTCTGTATAAGTACCGCAGCCGCTCGACCGCTAGCCGGACCATACTCGCATATTCCAGATCGCTTCTAAACTTTCTCAGCTTGGTGACAATTCGCTTACAAAACCTTTCACTCTCCGGCCTTTAATTTGCGCCAATTTCTTATCGCAGGATTAATTTGCGAAGAAGTACTAACCAAAATGTTTTTAATTAAAGAAACGGCGCATTTGTTGTGTTTTTTCCACTTCTTTGCAAATTTTTTTTTAACCTGAGTTTGGCTGACGTATAAATATAATATTCACGTAACCTAATGGGGCGATGATGATCTACCAGTGGAAACTTGTTTCGTGGCGATTTATTTAAATTTTGTTTGTTTTTCAATATTTTAATAAGTGTTGTGTACTAAATAGTATCACAAAGGCGGAGCTGCGGAGGGGTTTGTTGAGTCTACCGTTTTGGTTTTCAATTTGTGGCTCTTTGTTGGACGTTTAATAATTTTTGTTTCATTTAACGATCTCAATTCGTTTTTATTACCTTTGTTTACATCCAAACATACTCGTAGAGTTTCATGATACTCGGATTGAAAGCTATGCATATATACATAAACCCGTTTTGAAACACTTCTTAAAAATTATATGGTCCCTTATTTTGACATATCACTCTTCCACTGACAGTTTCTTTGTAAGTTTCAAAGTCAACAGTTCGGTTTTTTTATGCTTGTCGTATTCCTGCTGTATATATTCTTTTAATAGATGCCCGCTTGTTCGTCTCTATACACCCGAACTAGACCCTCAGTTTTTGAGATATTGATATTAAATTTTTCAAACGTCCTTTTCTAACCAAGAAGCCGTTCATTTGTCGGAACCGATATCGGACCACTGTGGCATATACCAACAGAACCATGAATAGAAATCCTTTACAGTTGACGAGATATTTTCAGGAAACCTGGAATACTGTCAAAGTGTCTACTGTGTAGCCGAACAACGCACTCAAACGAATACCTAAAATAATGTGTTTCCAATAAATGTTTGTCCGTAATAATGCTTAGATACACCCTTTCACAAAGTTTCCAAGCCAACTTCAGTACGAATATTCCGACAAGTGCTTTCTTCATGACCATCGATCAATAAATCGCGTCGTTCAAAATGACCAACTAAAGTGAGTTATGAAGAATATAATAGTTGCTCTGGACCCGATCTAGTGTCGATCATTTCGATGCATACTTTAGTAAAAAAGAAAATTCAATAACCTAAAAATCTGGGTTATGTTTTCAATAAAAAGTAATTATTACTTGAAAAAGAATACTACAAGTATAATTAAATAAAAAAGTTTTTCGTTGACCAACCCTATGTAATAAATCCGTAAATTCATCGAGCTTTTCTCGACCCAAGGAAATAATGGATTTTTAATTGTTGTTGTTAGTTTTCGAAGGGTTCAATGGAAGTTGTGTCGTGTTACTTTTTATGCTCAGAGTAGATAACATAATGACTATTCATTCCAATATTTCTTAATTACATAAAAACACTTTGCGACTGACATCACCTTATTATTGTTACACCACGTTAAAAATATTAACTCATTTAATCCTCATAACTAGTTTTAAACTCGCTGATTATTTGTTTACATATTACATATTTGTTTTTATTGTAGACTTACTTATTGATTTATTTGTGTTTATATATATATATATATATATTGTTTTTTTTTTTTTGAATTCTTCTAAATTATAGTAAAGTTTTATAATTAGTACTTCATTTCACACAACTACTACTTAAGTGTTATTATTTTTTCTTTACAGACATCTGATATAATTAGTATTTTGGTAATGAGTTATGAGTATAAACTATAGGGAGCGCTATTAAGTTCGTTACCGAAACCGTAAGCAAGTTTTAACATTAGTTCTAGTAGAAACTCAAGTAAAAATAATATTTGTTTGTTTATTAAAGATTAGAATATATTATATGAACAAAGTCATAATAGGTTGTAAAAAAAGTCTTAGATACATAGATACATATTTATATTCTGTACAATATTATTTACGTTATTATATTTAAAGTTATTCGGTGAAAGTCGAAGAGGCTTATTTATAAACCCATACGTTTGTCCTAAACTCCGAGCGTTGAATTCTTGTTAATAGAGGTATTTATAACAATTATCGTTTTACCCCTGCTTCAAAATTTCGAGAGAAACCCCGTGGAAAGCACATGCAGCACTCGGACAATTCAAGGAAGATTAAACGACATGGGTCTGAAATCTTGTAGACCTGAAAAAACATCTTCTAGCGACGAAAATGAATGCAAAAATAATTTTGTCGGAGCTAATGGTGTCCTAAGGATGAGATCGAGAAATGGAGAACACTTTTCAGATGAATTTTGTTTGTGATATAACGGTTGATCTTATTAGAGCTAATTTTTCCAATAACCTTTTTTTGACAGTGACAATCTGCCGTATTATTTTTGTTCAGCATTGTTTGGTATTTCCTAATGGAAAAACTTTTGCCAGAACAACTTTTACAAATTGTTCAACTTTATTACGTTTTGTAATTAATGTGTTTCGCACGCTTCACTCAACTTATGGTCAACATAATCGGCCTATTAAGCGTACTATTCTAAACAACGTCGAGATCTTAAATTAACACGTCCAAAATACAGCTTATGCAAGAACTGAAGCCACTCGACCTTCCCAAGCGGCACCGCATCGCTCTATGGGCTCTTAATAAGTTATAAGAATATTCGATATTTTCGAGCCAAATTTTGTTCAGCGATGAGACGAAATTCAGGCTCAACGAACAGGTAAACGAGCAAAATTACAGCATTTAGCACAAGAGCTGCCACTTCATTCAGAAAGAAATAAGGGATTGGTGTAATTTATGGGCCGGTGGAATCATCGGTCCATATTTTTTCAATAATGCTGCCGGTGAGAACGTAAACATGACAACGTAAGCGCCCATGGCGGCCATGGACATAAGACTTTTAATGCCCGAAGCTGTGGCTAGTGATCTCAGCGACATTTATTTCAGCAAGGCGGCGCCACTTTCCACATATAGCCGGTCCGGTCGATTGGCCACCAAGGTGGTGTGATATCACACCGTTCGACTTTTTCCTGTGCGGATATGTAAAGTCTAAGTCTATGCGAACAATACCGCTTCGATTCAGGCCATAGAGAATGCGGGTTTTTCACCATTTACCAGTCGAAATGCCAGAACAAGTCATGGATTGGATTCCTCAGTAGCGGTCAACATTTAAAGAGATAATCTTGAAGAAATAAATGCAAATGATGCCCTTTCGAATGATAATAAACATGCTCCATTAATTTTGAAGTTTCAGTGTATTTTTTTTTTGTTTTTAAGTAGGGAACCTATAAATGGATCACCCTTTTTTATCCTTTAGCGTAAGAGGTTACCTAATTTCAAGCTAACAATTAGTAGAATAATATATGTATATAGTAATTTAAGGTTAGCGCTACCCAAAATCAGAATGAAATTCTCAGATAGAGGGCTGTGCTTATAACTTTCAGCGTATATACAGATTGTATGTATGTAGGATGTCGTTGTCACTAAACTATCACTTTGCTGTATGTGGAAAAAAGTTAACAAGTATGAAAAATAATACTGTTAAAGCATTAATATTATAATCCATAGTAAATTGTTTATTCCTCTCTATAAACACCATTCAAAGAAGTTTTCGGAATAAATAATGATTTAAATAATATGAGTAAATGTAAGAACCAAATACAAAACTTTAACTAACAAAGAAATCACGAAAGAAGTGCGCGTGAGTAGCAACGTAAACATCTAATAGCTTTAAAGAAGCCGCGTAAAATAACGCTTACATTTTAAGAAAACAAAATCGTTGAAATTCCCCAATTTTTATACTTCACGATAACTGTTTATGCAGAAGAATACTAGCAACGTACTATATATATTATATAAATTATTATATTAAACAATCTCAAACAATCTCAAATCTTAGTAACGTCCATATCGTCATATTGTTTTATTCAATAAACTAATTTATTGACCAGAGCAAGTAAAAAGTGTGTCATCACATATAAATTTGTTCACAATTCTAGAGAAAATGCTTGACTAATATGCTAACTAATCGAAGTAATGAATCAGTTATCTAAGACAACACTAAAACTCGACTATTTTTCCAAGTTCAATGAGGTGGGTTAAAAATAAACATAGATAACACCGGTCAGCAGTATTTTTGAGCATGGATTGCACAACCTTATTTTTGTTGTTTTTATAACTCAAACTAATACTAACAAATAATTAATAATAATCACAAAAAATGGAAAAAAAACAACTCGATAAAAATACGCAGAAATTCTACATGTAAACAATTTATTAAAATATACCACTCATTCATTTAGGATTCATAAATAAAATATATACACATTCCGCAGAATTTTCTATTAAAGTGTGTCCAAGGTAATCTGCGACAGAGACGTTTAAATAACATAATCACAGGTGACGAGTCATAGATTTTTGAGTATGATCCCGAGACAAAGAGGCAATCTGTCCAGCGGTACACGCCGTCGCCTCTTCGCTCAAAAAAGGGAATAATGAGCAAATACAAAGTGAAATCGGTGCTTATTTTCTTCTCTGACATCAAAGGCATCATCCACCATGAATTTGCTCCTCAAACGAAGGGTCAATCGGGACCGACAAGACATCGCAGCCGATTGGAAGTTGCACCACGACAGCGCGCTGTCTCACACCGCCTTTTTTGCGCACAGCTACCTAACCAAGGCTTTCATCCTAACACTTCCGCAGCTGCTCCACAGCCCAGATGTGGACTTTTTTGTTTCTTTGACTGAAAAGACCGTTGAAGGGCAAGCATTTTGAGATGACAGAAAGGATCCAAGCAGCATGCACCTCGACTCTCAAGGTTATTCGGAAGAATGCCTTTAGTAATGCCTTTAATACTTGGAAATCGTGCTGGCAGCGTTGCGTCGACGCAGAAGGAACCTATTTTAAAAGTTTTTAAAGAATTGTATCGATTGGTTCAATAAATTTTTTTAAATCGACTCAGTCCTATTACTTTTTGGACAAACGCGCGACGACAATCAACGGTTATAATGTCAAAGAAAAAGACGAAGCTCTTTTTCTGCAAGTATGTGAAATATGATATAACCGCCAATTAGTTAGGATAGGTTATATTGGCCGCCTGTTATTCCTTACATGGACCTACTGGTCCTTATTAAAGCCAGGGTTCAGTTTAATTAGAATGAAGTATTCGTATTACTCCCTTAAACTGCGAAGCTAACAGATATATTAGCTGAATTTTAGGAAAAGCTGGAAGAATAGGAGGTGTTCCTTCGTCTCTCTTAAAAGTTTTACGTGTATCGTCGTTACTTAAGACTATCCGAATCTTATGTGATGCCGATAGATTGTAACCTGTCATTAGGCCAACAACCGTTCTACAAACTTTTTGAATGTAGAAAGTCATGCATGTTTTTCTTTGGGGCATTGCACTTCCATAAGACATTCCATCTCGCCCTCATCCGTCTATCACCCGTTTTGGATTTTTCAATGTACTATATTACCTTTAACTTACACATTACCTGCACTTGTTCGACTTTTTGGAAATTTCACATAACGCTGCTAATCTCGAAGATATTGCAGAGCTTTCCACTACACATTGCATTGGTGGTAGGTTGAGTAATCTTTCTACTGTAGCCATTATAGTGGTTTTAAGTGCACCCGTTATGCAGAGAACAGCTAATAGTTGTATCCTATTTGTAAGAAATTTTGTTGTCAGCCTTCTTTACACCAAAGCACTGTAAATCAAAAATTGGCTTGACTATCGTTATGCAACACCAATGTATACGGCACTACCTTTGGATTCTCTCCACCACATTGTTTTTCCACAATAGTTTCAATAGTTTGCCATTCGCAAAAATTTCCAGGTACTTGTTATACTCCTTAACTGTTAGCTCAACTCAAAGTCTAAAATCTATGCGGACAATTGACAATTGACAATGATTGATCTTCAGTGCGATATATTGCCACACAAGTAGTCGGAACCTGGACTTCGTTCAGTACGCACGTTCTTATTCTCGATACTCTCTATTATTATCGAAATTGCAACTGGTGTTTTGTGTTTTGTGTTGCGTGAAGTGTTTTGGGTGGTACATAAATGGTATAAGGGGGCTTTATCGGAACCGGTGCGAAAATTTAACAACGGGCATGGCACCGCCCACTGTTTAATTAAATCCCATATCTCGAAACCCGTCTGACCGATTTCAAATAAATTTAGTATGTGATATTCCTTTAATATTTCTATATCACAGTGTAAAAATGAGCGAAATCGGACTACAATCACGCCTATTTTCTTCCCATATAATAGAATTTAAAATTATATTTGATTGTTTCACTTTCGAGTACACAAATAAAGAAGTAATTAATATAACGGAGTAAAAATTTGCAGTAATAATTCCCTTAAAGTGTGCAACCTTTTGACCAAAAACTATAGAAATCCAACCAAAATTGCTAAAGCCCCTAGGTACTGAATATATGGACCCCGGTACCTATAGTCGACTTTTTATCGGTCAGTATCTCAGATATGTAATTGAAATTCAAACAAAATCCTTTCCTGACAATAGTACTTCTTTATATCAAAAATGGGTTGAATCGGGTCAATACTTCCCTGAGCTCCCATATAGGTAATATAAATGTTTTCGAACTTCTAGGCAACTTTATGCTGGATATATCCGCAATACATATACCTTTGCAGCTAAAATAGATACAATTGGGCGAAAACTTGATGCGCCCCATATAACTATTACCAAGATTTTTGAACATCCACTTGCCCTTCCTACATATGATTGCGGATTGTATGTAAGGTACCTTAATGAAACCGAGCTAACATTTTTTTGAGTATGTGGCATATTAGTAGTATGTGGGATGAGCAAAAATTGATAAAATCAAGTCGATACTACCCCCAACTCAAATATAATATATTCAATATAAAATGCGCAGTTGAACCCGAACTTAACCCTTCCCTACTTGTTTTATTTGAGTTGCATTATTACATTCTATAATGCATTTTTATTCATTAAATCACTTTAAATAATTTTGTCCAAATTAATTTTTGAGACCAAATACTCCTATGTGCGATGTTTTTTTCTAATCTGCCCGCCAAATAAGAAAAATCGTAAAAAAGAAAAAATGAGAGCTCGCGCGCCAAAGCACTCATACGTATATCTGCTAGATGATAGGTCACTATTTCCCTTCCAGCTTCGACGAAATTTCGAATTCCCATCTATAACTTTGGGGACATATTCTTAGATATTTTTTAAAGAGATTAAAAACTTAACATTTCTAAAACCAGTTAGAACTCATTTTTGCGACGAAATTTCGTGGAACTATTATTTAACTACAAATGTTAATAATATTTAGCTACAACCACCTCTATATAAACACACAAACATAAATACATATGTATTTACCAGTAGGAAAACCAATTTGTTTACTTTTTGCCGTTTTTTCATCAATAAAATTCAAGCCGTAAAACCCATTTATAGGCAAATTAAGCAACATAGTCTTGCATAATGTCACAACATAATGATTTCTACAATCTAACGGTACCAGAAACATGCTTTGCATACATTATACAATCAATGGGCTCACTTTATTAACTTCCAATCATATACATACCTTATCTAAGATAGAAGGTGAATAGCCCACCTATTATATACGTGTGTAAATCCTCATAGTTGTTGTTTTTTTTTACTTTAAGAACAGAAATAATAATAGTGCTGCCCATTTTCATTAGAATAGAAATCAGAACTTTTTATTTTAGCAGAATAAATAAAGTTGTCTGCTCATCGCGACTGGAGTAGAGATCGAAATGCGATAACGGCCAAATTGTTTGCAAATTACCATTGAACAAGTTTCATTTTAGATCATTTCACCTCATCAAACCGGTGATTATGCAATCTTTCCTTTAGTTATGCAACTTAAGAAATTTTTTGTGTGCTGAATTTATCACCCCGCCTAATTAATATGCAATATTCGCTCTAGATTTTGCGATAGCTAAAATCGCCGTCAATAAAAATCCATAAAGCATTTCTTCTTCAGTTTTTATCTTTACTTCGGGTGTCGCTGTTTGGAAGTATATATATAATTAGAGGACATACTCATAACTTATGCTTAGATATACATATGTACATATAGTGTAGTACAGATCATACTTATTTGTAAATGTAACATAAATTTATACTAAGAAACTCTTAAACCAAAAGTGTCAATTCTTGTCGTTCATATCATATCACTTAACTGACTAATAGAACCATCACCCGCTCTTTCTTTCTCCCTTTACAATTTTCCATATACGCTAATTTCATTCTTCGTTAATATTTGTAATCATAAATATTTCTGTTGTTGTAACAGTTTCTTTAGACGCTGACGTTTTTCTTTTTTGGTTCTACAACCTCTTCCTTGGGCAAGTCCTTGGCAGCCTCAGCTACAGCGGAAATCTCTGGATTGATGATTGAACCGTAGGGCACGAAACCATTTTTGCCAGCTGTGTAGAAGACCTCGACTTCCTCACCCTCGGTGTTGATGTATTTGTAGGAGCCCTTAATTTCGAGTGCCTCATCTTCGGTACCTTCGTCAACTACGCTGGCTGCCTCCTTGCGGATGGTGCCATCACCACCTTCATAGTGCAAATCGTAAGAACCATCATCGTGCTTGTTGATCTCGGACTTCAGTATGGCTACCACCTCACGTTCTGGCTCTTCGATTGGTGCAGCTGAGACAGCAACGACGGCGAGACAAGCGAAAAGTACGAACTGGATGAGTTGAAGATATGTTTATTAAATGAAAAAATTTCAGTGTTTAAGAAATAATAAGTTTAAAAATAGTTAAAGAAAATAAATAAACAAAAAAATATTTTTTTTTTAAATCTATTAAAAAAAAACTCCTTTCCATTTTTATACCCTAAACAGGTTATGTTAAGTTTGCCACGAAGTTTTTTATACCTGAAAGAAAGGAAACCCCACTAAGATATGTACATACAAGTATGTTATGTATATAAAGGTTAGCAGTACGAGCTGAGTCGAGTTAGCCATGTCCACCTGTTTATTTGTAGATAAGCAAACTAGTCCCTCAGTTTTTGAGATACCATTCTGAAATTGCACTCTATCATATAGCTGCTATCAAAAACAAGTTCTTGTATGGAACCTTTTGTACTTTGTCACAGTTTAAGTTTTTTCCTTGCTTTGTAATAAAACTCTACCCTGCACTGGAAGAATAACTAAATAGCTGAAAGGTGAGAATATGTGAGTGCAATTTAATATTACAAAGTTCTTAAGACCAGATTCAAAACAGATCAGTTTCAAACTAAGAAAGGAAAATTAAGTCTTTCGGTTAAAACAAGTATCAGTAAAGCTTTCGTTAGAAAGCTCTGCAAAAAGTATAACGATCGCTTGTACACTCTTTATAAATTTAGCGTCTAGAATTAAAGTAGTTCTGACGGTAAATATGTGTCGATAGAGTAAATATTTGTTCACAACAAACTCCACTTGGGATATCCTATATGGAATAGTATATATACGACTTAAAATCACTGAAAATTTAATATACATTCTATAGCATGTTCTGCATAACAGTAAATTTCTAAGTAATTAGATCAAATATATAATTTCGAGTGGTTTATGCTTGTTGAGAATTGTCGAAAAATTCCAAAAGCAATTCTCAGACACGTGAAGCCTACAAACCTAGTCAAAATAGTCAAGGAAAGAAGTACGTACTTATATTATAGTATAGAAATGCTTTGCCCTCCTAGGAAAGGGGCGTAAATATCCATAAAGTTTACTCAAATGCTCTAAATTTAAGAGCGAAAGCTTTTCATATCGTGGGATTCCATTAACTTCTGTTGGAAAACCGGTTTCTAACTCTTCAAAAGTAATATACATACATATATATATATATGAACAAGACTATGTGAACAAGAGCCACTTTCGTAAAATGTACAAGAATGAACTAAGGCAGAAGTGAAGCTAATTTAATATTAACTATTCAATCCATAACTTCAAACAAGAGTAGTGCCTTTTATGATTATTTTGAATGAATTGTAATTTAGTTTCAATTGTTTGTTCGGCTCGGAATATTATACTTGCATATACAGTGAAAGCTCCCATAAGCGTACAATGGCAGGACCAGATTTTCTGTTCGCTTAACAGATTTTCCTTAATTAACATCAAAAAATGTTGGGACTGGCCAATGTGCACGGTTAATGGAGATACCCACTTAATAGAGCGAGTAAAGCTTTTACTGCMTATACTTCATTCACTTCAACATTTTGAAACGCCAAGTTCTTTGAGTTTTTTTATTGCTTTCTTTAAAGTTATTTCCAAATTTTTCACTAGATCACTTTTCAATATTTGATAATCGGGTTTCCAAAGAAAATTTCACTAGTACTAGAACACTTCTTGGTTAAATTTCAAACTTACAATTTTAATCATTTTGCGCGTTGTGTGTTTTTTACACTTTTTTACGGGTAGGAAATAACTTAAAATGTGAAACAAAAGCGAGAGTGCGAAATAGAAAAAACTGTGATGAATCCAAAACCAATAATGTTAGCAACTGTCTCGAAGCGACAGGCTTTTATACTAATTTTATGAAATTGCATGAAATTATTTAAATATGCCAAACATGTTTCACATCCTGTTTTTTATTTCAGAATTTTAAAGCCAAAAACTCAGACGTCTCGGCCGCTTGCGCCCCAACCAATGGCGCGGTCCGTGTTGCTATGCTAGACGCTACGCTGCTCACAGCCGGCATTAATATGACTTTGGAGAGCGCTAACTGTAAAATTAGAAGAAAAAGGCCATATACATACGGTCGTTGAAATCATAAAAAAGCAACAAAAATATATACAAAACCAAATGTATGAAAAAATCATTTAACACATTGCATGGATCTAAGACAGTCTATAAATGTTTGTATGTGTGTGCTTTTTGGTGTTTGCACATTTCTAAATGTCAGGGTTAAATAATTAAAGACTACAACACAATTTACTCTGTGAATTGTGGACAATTGTACTCACTGTACGGAGCAGCGCATTAGCGGAAAGAAATGGAGAAAGATGCCGGCTGAAGCGCAAAGGTGCGACTTTCTTGTCTGCTCATAACTGCACGCTTCTCACCCAAAAAGTCACACGAAATTCTTGTAAAACATGTTCACATACACTTAACACAACAACAAAAAGGAGTTTTAACAAATTGTGCTTTTAAGACCGCACGTGTGTACAGATATATGGGTACGTATGTCTAATGGAGCGCCACAACATGTTCGGTAAGACTGAACGCGGCCACATAAGTTTTGATTACATTAGGGTGATACGTGGAAGTGAAAAACAAATTAACTTCGGCTTTACAATAGTAAAAGATGCCTTACAAAAACTTGATTTTGATACGTCAGTTTGTATGGCAGCTATACGCTATAGTTATCTTATCTCAACAATTTCTTCGTAGATTGTACCATTGCCTTAGATATTATTGCATGCCGAATTTAGACAAAATATCTCGTAAAATGAAAATGGTTTCACATAAGTATTAGATGCCGATCGTTCAGTTTGTATGGCAGTTATATGTTATAGTGGTCCGATATCTGTGGTTTCGGCGATTTAGCAGCTTCTTGGAGTGAAATAACACGTGTCCAAATTTTAGATCGGTATCTTAAAAACTGACGGACTAAATCGTGTATATACTGCCACACAGACAGACAGGAGCAGAGAGGGAGAAACTTCTTGGTCAACTATCCAGCTCTGGATATAAAAACAACTATGTTCGAAAAGCACACATATTATAAATTAAGTTCCGATTAGGTCTAGAGGGATCCCATTATCTCCTGAGGACATAATTCAAAAGAGTCAGCAAATCATATGTGTATCTTACGTTTAAGGGCGCCCCTAATATACTTATTGTCACTGCGTCTGGCGATTGTCGGCGATAATTGTGCGCTCATCTTGATCTTCATGCCGCCTTCTTCTGCTTCTATTATTTCCGCGACGACATGCCACAACATCTGGGCATTTGTGCGCCATGAGATTTATCTGCGATTGATGTGTTTCGCATAATGCGCGTCTTTGTTGTGGTTACGTGTGAAGTTTACTAATTTTCGGCTGATCGTTAAGTGCGATCTTTTGGCGCGGTTATGGCCAAGGCGAAGCGTGCGCCGGCGCGCCGCGATTTCATCAACTTGACAAGCGGTGCAAAGCTCGGCTCTATTGTCGCGCTTTTCAAAATATTTAGTTTTGTGCTTTTGCCAAGATTTTTTGCAGTTCTTTGTCGTGGAGATGTGGCGATAAATGCCGCCTCTGAGACAAGAGCAAATATTGCGTTGCAGGAAGCATCAAGTTTTTTATTGCCAACGCAAATTGATTACTGTCTCCATTAGAATTGGGTGTGTTATGTAATGTGAGAAGCAATTTAATGCGCGCAAAATGGAAAGAATTTTGTAATTTTGTTTATTTAGCTTAAGTGATCGTAAAACAATTTTATAGTAGACTTTTAACTTTTATAAGGAAACTTTGTTTCAAGAAACTTTTGTTGTAGCGTGTAGATATGAGAATGTTATTATTTTGCTAGCCTACTTAAAAGTTAAAAGTCTGTCACAACTGCGACCAGGAAGCGTATTTATAACAAACGGCGCGGAAACCTTAAATTTTATTTATATTACTATTCTATTTATTGTTACTAAACATTTAGCGATCAAATTTTTTTTATTTCATAAGATGCTACAATCTCAGAATAAATTGTTCAGATCGGATGACTATAGCATACGAGTATAGCTGTCATACAAAGTGATTAAAAAACAAGTTTTTGTGTGGAAACTTTTTCATTTGATTTTCGAGGTGTAATTTCTTCGGTAGAACCGCAGTTAACATTTTTTTTTAGATATAAATGAACAAACTCTTCCACGCGAGGACTCATTGGTCACCACCAACACGGCGAACGGGTGGGTCCAAATCTTCAACTCGGCGTGTAAAACTGCACTGGACAGCTGCTGAAAACATTGAAGGGCAGAGAGAAACCTCTCTGGTGGACTACAGAACTCACGGAAATCAGAACATCCGGCAGACTTTTGTTGAACAAGGCCCGCAGGTGGGGGTGAAATGACTATGTCCGAGATGAGAAAGGTAAAGAGGATGCCCATGGATGCTTCTGCAAGTGGAAAAGTGGAGGGACAGCCATTAGAGCATTCCGAGGGACTATCTTTCAGAAGCGCAACATGCTTATTATGGCTACTGTCGTGTCATGGCTTGGGGAAGCTATTATGCGTAAAGAATTCGCTGGGACCTTACTGAATATTGACGAAGCTTTCGGTAACGTCTTGCCAGAAGCAGTCGTTATTGCTTTAGACGGTCTTGGGTTTGAATCAAATCTCAAACACCTCGACGAAATGTATTTAGGGAAACCCCAAGTTGAAGTTCTCTCTCCAAGATGGCTTTATTTACTAGAAGATATAACATTCCGGAGGCACTGTTGTCGTAAACGAGAGACATGTGTCTGCAACCGGCGAATACTGTGAAATGTCTACGGCTTAAGCTGGATAAGAAGCTTTCATGGATGCCGAATGTCGAAGAGAGAACAAAAAAAGCATCTTATACTTCTGTGGAGAATCCATTGGCAAAAGGTGGGGTCTCTCACCGAAAGTGGTCCTCTGGGTCTGCGACACCGTAGTCAAAACCATTATGTTCTATGGAATCTGTATGAGGTGAAGGGCTCTCAGGATGACTAGACGAGTTTCCTTGTGTCTGCCTGTCCGTCCGTACGTCTGTCTGTGCAAACTATAATTTGAGAACCAATTAAGATATCGTAACTAAATTTGGTACACGTATTTCTTGGCGAAAAACGGAAGACAATTTCTTAGATGCACCACTGCCACGCCCACAAAACGTCATTTTGCGAAAAAAGTGTAACAATTAAGCTCCAAATAAGAGACAGAGATATAAAATTGCCACGTACATATATAACCGGATAAAACTTTGCCTCTAGATACCGAATATTTGAACTGCAGTACGTATAGTCCCCTCTTTCCCTCAAATATCGATGAATATGTGAGATATATGTATATTTAAAATTCTGGAGGATGGAGCTATGGGTAGAAGTTCACGCAAGTGAGGAAAGTTCTCTGATCGCCATTCACTTGGGAGTGGCCAGAAAGCATTTTTTTACATATGGCTCAAGCAGCTCACGACTTCCGGTCTTTGACCAAGTATGCTAAGAACAACGTTTTGAAGGCGAGACATTGTAGTGAAAAGGCGAAACATTCCCTTTGTAGGGTTGTGCGCTGGGCTTGCGACCCGCCACGTAAAAAACTACCCCAATGAAAAATAACAACCAGCCTCAGATGAGAGACCCCCTTTTGATGACGCCAACGTAGGATATCTCTTGCCAGCAGTTGATACTTCAGACTGAGCAGGTATTTGAGAAGTAAAGCCCTCTCTCGATTAACAAAAGCACAACTCTATAAGTCATTCATTATTCCCGTTCTGCTATACGGTGCAGAGGCATGGACGATAACAACAACTGATGAGTCGCCGTTTTGTCGAGAGAAAAGTTCTGACATAGTTCGGCGAATTAAAAGACAGCGGCTACGCTGGATAGGTTATGTCGTCCGAATGGAAGAAAACACTCCAGCTCTATAAGTATTCGATGCGGTATCCGCCGGGGGAAACAGGGGAATAGGAATACCACGCCGTTGAAAGGATCACATGGAGAAGGACCATGCTTAGCTTGGAATCTCGAATTGAAGAAACTCGAGCTAACTCGGTTATAACCGCGTAAGCGGTTTTTAATATACAAGAAGAAGATATTTAAAATTCAGAGATAATCCTCTGCTAACAATGGTATGTCCGCGTGTCAAGAATGGGTTGAACCGGGTCAATACTTCTCATAGCCCCCATATGCCTAACAAAACGATTTGGGATGTTCTAGTTGACTTGATACCGTAATATCGGTAAGTATGTGAGGTATCTCAATGAAAATGAGAGAGAGTGTTTTACGCCTATCAATGCATCTCCGTGCCTAAAATTAAAAAAAATGGATGAAAACTTGATCTAGCCCTTATATAAAAAACATATAACATCCGGTAGATCATTAAAAATCATAAAACTAATTTAAAAGTACACCTACACCTCCGTTTCTACACATAATAAAATAAATACATAACATAAATTCTTAACCCCTTATGCTGATATTTCGGTACTAAAATGTCGAAGGGTTAAATATAGCCAAACAGTTTTTAGTCTGCAACCAACCGCTATGTATTCTTCAATAATTTAATTTATAAAAGTAATAGAAGCTAGCAGGATCTATATAAAGTAACTGCTACATGAAAAAAGTAAAAACAAAAAAGATTAACCAGTGAGCGTAAAACAACTATACTTTACTTCTGTAATTTGAAACCGTTTTTTGCTTTATCGATAAAATCTCTATTAAAGTCACAATAAGTCCGATCACTACATTCATCAAATGAATAATTTTAATTCATGCTTTCTCAATCAACAATTAAAGAGATTAATCACTTAAATAATTATTGTCATTAACAAGCGCGCTCTGT